AAGGTTTTAAATCTTGTGCAACATCGTAGGACAGTACATTTCTTCCCTAAGATAGAAAGAGGCCCAGTGAGTCGGCATTTTAACTCCCGATTCTACAGGGCACATTTCCAGAACTCTGCAGTAGGTCAGCACTGTCCGCCTCGGGACCGCAAACCCTTCGGAAATAAGGATTGTCTATTGAGGGTATCTACACAGACTTCTGAAACTTCATCTGACCGCTCTAAATACATGATATTGGAGATTTATAGTGGGTTAAGTTTTATTTGTGGCAGTGTTCTCTCGTTATGCAATTGATAGAAAAATCATAAATTAGATCAAATAATTAAGGTATTTTGATTCGTACAGCTGAACCAAAGTAGCAGCTACTGAAGCTCTTCCCACTGTACTTTTCGTTACTTCCTCCACCTCTTACCAGCTTTATCTTGGGTAATACCTCAAACTAAGCATTTTTGATGCAGATACAGACAATTATAAGCTTATTCTTTACCTTCCTGCCAATATTGAATAATTTAAATCAATGAAAAATTGTGTAGAGCTTAACTGTTCCATGTTTATGTGTTTCTAATATCAATTTGTTAAAGAAATGAAGATTTGTAGATTTTCTGTGTGCATTTATCCTACCTAAGTGACCGTACTAAATACTGAACAAACATATCATGGTTGCTTAGTCTGTAACCCAAGAAATTTATGAATATAATGCTTTGAATTTGGAAAACCTGATTTCTGTGTCTTTTCTGCTCGTCTTTGAAGTAGTTTTCGAACATTTTAAAAGATGTATGACTATTGCGCGCTAGCTGTTCTCCACTGATTCTCTCTCTGGATTTACAGACAGACCTAAATTGCCTGATAATTACACTCAGGATACATGGCACAAGCTTCACGAGGCAGTGAAAGCCATACAGAGTAGTACCTCCATTAAATACAACCTCGAAGAGCTCTACCAGGTAAGAGTCCAAGTGTGAAAAGTAGAGTTTGCTAGAATTTCTATTGAGATGTGAATGTAGAATTTTCTTAGACCTGGAGCAGTTCAAAACTTGATTAGGTTGACTCTTTGTCTCTGCATTTACCGGGCTGTTTTTATAGTTTAAACACATTATCTAATTTCTGTGAAGTGTGATACAGATGTGGATTATGCAGTCCCCTTTAAGAGAGTCAGTGATGAAGGAATATAAATCCAAAACGTCTCAGTATGTTTGCCTCAAACAGGAACGACAGGAGTCCTGAAAGTGGGTCCTGGTGTGTTTTTGTTTATTTGGTTCTTGTTGGATTTTTGTTTTCAGGCTTAAGCTGCCTAGAAAGATATTTTAGTTGTCTCATTGCAGGAATGAGGCGGGATGTTTCTAAGAGCCACATGACTCTAGTATTTTCCAAATATGTAGCAAATTATTATTGTAATTCCATTGTGTTATATATAAAATTCTTATTGTTTTACTTGCTAATACAGATGTTTTGCTTCATTGTGTTTTGTGATTAATTGCTGCAATTAAAATCTGCCAACAGATTTTGTTATATTTAATGTGAAGTAATGAAATTCCATTTTTCAAGGATGAAAATGGTTAAAAGTACATTCTACTGTTGGAATATTTCATTTATAAGCTGACTGGCTTTTCTGATTTTTTAAAGAATAACGTTCATTAGCTAGTCTAGTAGTAGCTACACTTTAGGTTACAATATCGTTTCACACAATTATTTCCACTAAAAAGGCTTGCGTTTTTAAAATTATCCTTTTTCAGATGACGTAAGTGATTGGATTATAAAAATTATGGAAAATACAAAGAAAGCTGAAATCACCTATGCTCCCACCACTAAAGAAAATTACTACTGACATTTTGACATATGCAGTACATTCTTTGTCTTAGTGTATGCGTTTATTATATTTTTAATTAGCTTCAGGTATAATTTACATATAATACAATGTTTCCATTAAGTGTACATACTTTAGTAAGCTTTCACAAATGTATACAGTTGTGTAACCACCACAAGTAAGACAGAATATTTCTATCCCCAAAAGTTCCCTGAGGCCCTTTGCATTCAATCCCCTCCCTGACTCCTAGCCTTGGCAATCTCTCCCTGTATTTTTACCACTTCTAAATCTCATTTAAATGGAATCATACATTTTATAATCCTTTGTATCTGGTTTCTTTCACTTAGGATAATGATTTTGAGATTCATTCACATTGTGTGGCAGTAATTTGTTTCTTTTCATTGCTCAGTAGTATTCCATTGTATGGATATACCACAACTGGTTTATTCATTTACCAGTTAATGGATATTTGGTTTCCAGTTTTTTATTATTATGAGTAGAGCTGCTATGAAGAGTAGCGAATAAATCTTTGTGTGGGCATGTATTTTCATTCTAGGTAAAAACCTAGAAGTGGGATCACAGGGTCATATGGAAAGTGTATATTGTTTAACTTTATCCGAAATTTCCTGTCTTCAAAATGGGGGCACCATTTTGGGTTCTACCAGCAGTAGATGAGAGTACCAGTTGCTCCACATCTTTGCCAACATTTGGTATTGTCAGTCTTTTTCAACTAGGTATTCTAGAAAGTATATAATACGATCTCATTATGGCTTTTAATTTGCATTTTCCTGATGTCTAATGATATTAAGCATCATTCCTGTGCTCATTTGCTGTCCATGTATCTTCTTGATGAAGTGTCTGTTCAAATCTTTTGACCATTTTTTGAGTTGTTATTTTTGAATTTTGAGAATTCTTTATATATTCTAAATACAAATTCTATGTCAGATATTTGCCTTGTAAATATTTTCTGCCAGTCTGTATCTTGTCTTTGGATTAACAGTATCTTTTGAAAAGCAATGATTTTTGATTTTGATTAAGTCAGATGTATCAGTGTGTTCTTTTGCGGAGTGTACGTTTAGTGTCTAAGAATTCTTTGCCTATTCCAAGGCCACAAAGATTTTCTCATGTATTTCCTTCCAGACTTTTTAAGTTTTCCATTTAGGTCTGTGATCTGTTTTGACCTAATTTTTGTGTTTGTTGTAAGATATAACTCTAGGTTCAATTTTGTCTGTGTGGATGTCCAGTTGTTAGAGTACCATTTGTTGAAAAGACTGTCCTTTCTCCACTAAACTGCCTTTGCACCTTTTTCAGAAACAGGGTTTTTGTTTGTTTCCCATCTCTCAGAGACCACTGTCTTTCATTTCCAAATATCTAGTGTCTTGAAACTTACTTCATATACTTTGTCTGCTTTTTGGTTATTTCAAGAGTATCAGTAAATCCGGTCCCTCTGCTTAGTTAAGTCCTGCCTAGTACCTAAACTCTCATAGGGTTTAAAGAGTATTTCCAGGTGCCCCAGGGTACCTATGTGCTTCTGTTGTAATCTCAGGACTATGGATGCTGACACCAAAAATGGTGTATCGGATGGCTCACTGTGATGAGACATAACACGTTTCTCATAGACTTCTCAGGAGATCATGCTCACCAAGGTTAAATTTGGGAATAAATTGACCCACTTATTGTTCATCCTATAGTTAGTTGTCTCTTGTGGTATAGGAGGATTTCTGGCCCACTGTAGAGGAGCTCCAATGACTCTTAACTACATAATTAAAGAATGAGCAGCTTCAAATCTTTTGGAAGCAAATTCCAGTTGCCATCGAGTCAATTCAGACTCACGGAGACACCACGTGTGTCAGAGTAGAACGGTATTCCATAGGGTTTTTGGAAGTAGATCACCAGGGCTTTCTTCCAAGGCTCCTCTGGGTAGACTTGAACCACTAACCTTTCAGTTACCAGCCAAGCTCATTAACCATTTGCGCTCCTGGGAGCAAATGGGATACAAATCATAAGTAATTGTAAAAGTCTTGACATCTCACATTGTTCTGATCTCTGATAAAGCAGTCAGACAGTGCGTTTGACTTGGTGTTTCAGAATAAAGTCTTAAGTTTTTGCTGAGGTGATGTGGTATAAAAACCAGAAAGAAACCAAACCTGTTGCCATCGAGTCGATTCCGACTCGATAGCAACCCTATAGGACAGAGTAAAACTGCCCCATATAGTTTCCAAGGAGCCTGGTGTATTCGAATTGCCAGGCTTTTGTTTAGCAACCGAGCTCTTAACCACTGTGCCACCAGGGTTTCTGATGTGGTATATACTTTGCCAGAAAATCTTATGTGAAAGTACCAATTCTCACCAAAGCTTGAAAGGTTTTTGTTTTATTTTTTGTTTTGTTTTTCTTTTTTTTTAGAAAGTATTTGTGATCATTTACAGGAGGGCCTCTTATATTTCATGTTACTCCATCTCCCCAAAGGGAGTGTCTTCTCTTCCCATGAAGGCTTTTCCTACCCCATATAAAATCTTTGGGAGGCCTGTCTGAGGGAAGTTAATTACAGTATCAGTTTCCAGGCTCCTTATTGGTTTTTTGTTTGGTTGTTAACTTTGTTTTTGTTTGGTAAAAAAGGGGACTCAGGGTATGGTAACAGAAAAAATCTTCACACACACACATACACCACCCATAGTCATTTTTCTATTACAGTGTGAGGGGAAGAATACTTTAACTGCAATTTTTTTTGTGTGTTGTTTTTAAAGACCTAAGTTTTAGACCTGTAATAATTACTTGCTGATAAAAGTATATTTTTTGTTTGTATGTATTAATACTGCTTGTCAGCTTAAGACAACAGAAAACTCAGGACTGATTTTCTAGAACAGTTGCAGAGAAAGGCAAAGTGTTGATTTCAGACTGATTTTTGACACACAGAAATAAACCTACCAGAGAGATCTTTAAGTCGTGAAAAGCCGTGCCATTTTTCTGGAGTCATGTGGTAATCTCTCTCTAAAATCCTCATACCCATTGATAACTTTTAGTGAAGAAGAATGGTACCAGAATTATGCATTGAATGTATTGATAAGAAAAAGAGAGACAGAAAATGGTAGACAAATAGCCACATTATTTGATGGAGCAGTTAGAAAGTAGCAACAGTCTGTTCAGTACATAAGTTATAAAAGTAGGGACAAGAATATACAGACTCAAATATATTAGTTCTAATAAAACTGTTTTATAATTCTGCTACTTTCATCACTGAATAAAATGATCATTTCTGTTAGGTAGTTCACTTTCAGCACGCAGAGCTGTGGACCTGCCGCACACTCAGTATTGCTGAACACAGGCTAGGCGGTCGCTGGTTTTCAGCAAAGCCGTCATCTTTAGAAAACTTCTGTCCTGCTTATCCTTTCACTGAGATGCGGAGTCATAATTTAATTTTTATATTGTTTATTCATTTCTTATAGACAGGAAATGGGGTATAGAGCACTATTAGCATCTTTCTCCAAAGTGGTGAGCCGATTACTGTTTTAAGTATGTCTTCCTCTGAATAAAGGTTCGTCACTAACAAGGACCCTCATCATCCCTGTTATTGCATAATGAGGGGTTATAGCTACTGAGGGAAATTTGACTTACCCCATACTCCTGTCTGTAATAAGAACACTGCTAGCCTTCTAACGAGTACTGTAAAATGAAAGTAGCCTATGCTTAAGATACCAGATGGGTTAGGTTTTGGCCTTGCGTGGTGCCCACAGCCAGTGTTTCTTATATAATCGCTCAGCTAAGTCTCCATATGTAATGAAGTGGGGTTTTGTTTATTTGTGTTTCTGAATTAGTGCTTGCCTGCTTTTTTCCTTTCTGATTTTTTACTTTATGATATGTTTCTTTCCTTTTTCTGTCTAATCTCAATTTTAGCCCTAAGGTCCTTATGTGAAACAGATAATCTTACAGAATTGGTATATCTTAATTTAATAATTGAAAAAATGAGTAGTTCTTTTTATCCCACAGTTCTTTTTTTTATTGTTTTGGTATTCCACACCTGAAGGGAATTACTACCTTGTCCAGAGGAAGTATTTTGTTTAAATAGCAATAAAGACACTCTGGGGTTGTGGTTATTTGAGGCTAATGTGCTTGTCTGTTTTATTTTAATACGCTTACGTTTGATAATAGAGACAATTGTCTGAAAACTGAGAGCAAATCGTTAAGGAAACCAGAGTTTGTGGTGCGATAGTGCCAACCCACTGATCAAAAAGGAGCAGCGATGAGAGACTGTTGGGGAGGTTATGGAAACCAGTAATAACCTCTCCATTTGGCTAAGTGTGTACAAAGGAAGAAATCTTTTTCCTAATTCAACTCAAATTCAAATGTTTCTTCTTCTCTATCTCCAGTTACTGGATTAGTTAAATTTCTTTTCTGTAGGATGATTCTTAAAAACGTTAATGGCCATGGCACACTAATACTGAGTACCTAGGAAGCACCTTGTACCCTTACTAATTAGGGATTTTATATGCCTAGAGAAGGTATTTCTAAATACTGTATCAAAATTTGATTAATTCCACAGATTTCTAAATCTCAAAACTTATCTATAGGGTAAGTTCCTATGATGTACTACTCCTAAAATAGTCAGGGTCTCTACCATCAATGAATCAGCAGTATGGGTAGAGCTACAGAGACTCTCTGGTTTTCTAAGGTAACAGCGTGGCTGTAACATGAAGCAGCAAATGGTGACTCAGCAAAAGACACTAAGAAAGTAACCAACACCTGCATTAAACCTCTGTGTTACCCCAGGGTTTGGCCACTTATTTTGAGATGTCCCCAGATTCTCAATTTTGAAGCAAAATAAATCTGTGATTCATATAATTAGTAAGTGTATGCCAGGTAGAACATACAGGAGAAAGAGCTGGTTATAAACCATGATATGTCACAACTGGAAAAAGATTGTTTTGAGAACAGACTCTTGGTCCATGAATTAAAGCATTCAGAAATTTGTCCTAATGAGATTTTGTTTTCGACATGTATCACTTAGCTTATCCTAATTTTTGCTAAAGAAAATACATTATCTTCACGTATTATGTAAAGAGCTTATTTTGAAAGTTATGTTTGTGTAATTCACTAATAATTAACTATTGGGACAGAATCCTTTGTTGTGAGGTGATCCTGGATTTTTCAGGAGAGAACAGGATGGTATATCTTTGACTAAATTATAAAGACATGAATACAAAAAACTGATGGGATTGAAGCGTTAGAGAAAGGAACTGAAGGATGTAAATGCAAAATGTAGATAGGAATCTCTTATTTCCGTGGTAAGATAAAATGGAAGGACAAAGCTTTCATACTCAGTTATTATGTTGATAATGAACTTGCTAGAAAACAGTTTATAATTTTTGAATTATCATCATTCCACATTCTCTTCTGACCTTTGTAAAAATGCCTGCATGTGTTTTACACAGTAGTAATTGTGGTATTTTTTAGTTTGGGTTAATACAATATGTAGCAGTCCCCCTAATATTATTTGAATTATTTCTCATTTTTCTTGCAATTGTAAATATTGCTAAAATGAATATCTTTATAAAAATTTAAATTAGTTTTTTCCTAGTAGAATATAATATTTAAGTTAAATTTGGACTATTTATTTAAAATGTTTCCATTTTGTATATCCCCACATTTTTTAAATGTTTCAAATCTAGTTAGTAGAAAAACCACATTTCTGTTTACAGTATTTAGTATTTAGATTGAATGAGATCCTGGTTTTGTACATGAGATTTGAAAGGAAATTTTGTAACTGTTAAGAACATAACAAACATTTTGGTATTTTGAATGTGGATGAAAATATTTTAGAAAAAAATATCCTGCCTCAAAAACTAGTTCATTTATTAAGACAAAGCTTAAGTAAATTACACATCCAGCCCGCAGAAAGAATAAGAAAGAAACACCACAGCCTGACTATGTTGCCTGGGCATTCAGTATTTTTTTTTCTTCATTATCACAGTATTGAGAGTGAAGAGAACAGGGATTTGATTTAACTCCTGTTGCTCTCTTCCCGTTTTGGAGGGGGGCACTGAGGGGGAGAAGACATTCTTCATTCTAGAGCAGTGATTTTTTTTTTTTTTTAACCCTGATTTTACATTATAATCCTCAGGAAAAACTTACACACACTATACATTATAATCCTCAGGAGCAACTTACACGCACACGCACGCGCGCGCGCACACACACACACACACACTCATTCCCCTGACCTCCAAACTCAGACTTAATAAAGTAGAATATCGAGAAATAAGACCATGGAACTAAAATATGTTTTAAAGTTCTTCCTTGTGATTGTGATGTGCAGCCAGGCTTAGAAACTATTAGGGAAAGAAAAAAAAAGACTATTTTGAGATGCTTAAAAACTGTACAGGTACATTACATGTCATTGTAAGTATTGTAGATAAGCGGTTGAATCTGTGTTTCTATGTTAACTGTTGTTATGTACCTTTTTAACCAACCTGTTCTTGGATTCCAGTGTTCATGAGTAATTGCCCTAAACTTGAACAGACTAAACAACTTATTTGTAGATGATATAAGTACTATTTGGGGAGGAGGGGGTTGCCTTTCTATTATGATTATAACTTATGTATAGTTGTTTGTTTTTGTTTTTTATGAACTAATTTGTTATTCATACTGAGTAATGAATTTATTCCTTTTGTTCCTAGGCTGTTGAAAATCTCTGTTCTCACAAAGTTTCCCCAACACTCTACAAACAGCTACGTCAGGTTTGTGAAGATCATGTTCAAGCACAAATCCTTCAGTTTAGAGAATATCCTTTTTTGGCTCATGAAGTTTCCATTCATTACCTAAACCTTTTGAAACTGAACATTGATAGGTAAAGAGTTAATGAGTGTCCTTATTATTAAAACAACAGCTTTTTAAGTTCCCTTTTATTTCTAGAACAAAAAGCTTGTTTCATGTAACTTAACATGATAGATTTTTTTTACCATTTGGTTTACTTTTGCTGATCTGAATTAAAGGAAAACAATGTCCATTTACTAGATCAGGCTGAAGTATCTAAAATATACCTTAAAGTTTGAACTGTGCTGTCCTTTATTAGAAACCATTTGTATTCCTTTTCTATAATGTGTAACAAACTTAGAGGCTTAAAACAATCCCCTTTTACTATCTCCCAGCTAGGTTCTTTGTTCAGGGTCTCACAGGCTGAAATCAGAGAGTTGACAAGGCTGTGGTCTCATCTGAGCCTCAGGATCCCCTTCCAGGCACATTCAGACTTGTTGGCAGAATTCAGTTCCTTGTGGTTGTAGGACTGGGTTCCCCGTTTTCTTTCTAGCTGTAGACTGGCGTCACTCTCAACTTCCCTCAGGTCTTTGCTTCGTGGCTCTTTCCTCTCACAAGGAGGCTGTTTGCTTTTTTCTGGGCCAACAGGAGAACCCTCTCTGCTCCGCTAGGACGACAGTCTTATATAACGTACCCGAATTAAGGGAGCGGTTAATCCATCCTGTTCAGTCCTGCCGCACTCACGGAGAATGGATTATACAGGGTGGAGTTCTTGCGGGCCATCTAATGAATTTTGCCATCCCACCATCTATGACTCAGATGTCTACAAGGGAAATCCTAAGCTGTTTGATATTCAGTACAAAATCCTTTACAGTCTGGCCTCAGTCTAGTTCCCCAACCTCCTCCCGTTAGTATAGCCACACACATCTCATTGTGTAGGAATTACAAAGTGGATTGTATAATTGCAGAAAATCCACTTGTGACTGTACTTTTCTGGGCCTCAGTTTCTTCACTTGTTAAATTATGTGGTTGAACCTGCTCGTTTCTAAGTTCTCTTCTAGCTGGAGGAATCATATCCCCTCCACCCCACCCACCTCTGGAGCCCTGGTGGCATAGTGGTTAAGAGCTTTGCTGCCAACCAAAGGTCAGCAGTTCAAATCTACCAGCCATTCCTTGGAAACCCTGTGGGGCAGTTCTAATCTATTCTGTAGGGTTACTATGAGTTAGAATTGACTTGACGGCAACAGGTTTGGTTTTTGGTTTTTTTATAGGGTTGCTATGAGTTGATATCAACTCTATAGTATACAGCAATCACCAATCTCTCTCACTTTGGGAAACCATAGCATTCCAAATTCATTGCAATGAAACCTCAGAACTGTCCCAGCAGTTCATATTCCCTAGCACTGAGGCTCTTGGTTATTTGCATGGCACTGAAGTTCAGGTGGTCTAGAGTGTGGTATCTCAGTTTAGGACAGGGTTTGCAGTATTCTTCATAAATGAGTGCCTGAAGCCAGTTCTAGTTCTGTTGTATTGCATCAGTAAATACACCTCCACAGTATCTTCTGACAAAGCTCTGTGCTGTAGATTATGAGGCTATTCAAGATAGCAGGGACCACACTCAGCAGTTTTGGAAACTGGTAAATGTGCAGAATATCTAAGCAGGCATACTGTGAAGGCACACAGAAGCTTCTATCCATAATTTCAGTAAACAGCACAACAGTCCCTGGGAAGGAGCTAGGTAACAGTTCCAGGAATCCATGGCCATGAGGTTCCTATCTTAAAAGTAGTCTGACTTGCAGTCTTACAGGAAGTTATCAACAGATTCTCAAGCCTTCTCTCTAAGACGTAGGAGCTTGTAAGAGTGAACTGGTGTGATTTTATCCTAATCTAGTCCCAGTTTACTTGAAAACTAGGAATGTACTTTATGATTCCTTAATCAAATTATTCTCCTTCCAGTTTATCCTACCTTGTGCGTCATACTGGTTTGTTCATTAATGCACGCTTAAAAAAAAAATACTCATTTCCTATTTACTAGCACTAGCACTGGAAAACAGAAAGAATTATTAACATGCATGATTTCTCCTACCCTCCAAGTGGTCACAGATCTGTGATGGAAATTATCTTGATACTGTGAAGAAACCATGATTATAAACATTTATTTTAATAAAAGGAGAAATTAAAAAACAATTCTGGGTGGCCAAACTGTTAAGTGCTCAACTACTTGCTGAAAGGTTGGTGGTTCAGACCCACCCAGGGCACCTTAGAAGAAAGGCCTGGCAATCTGCTTGTAGAAGGTCACAGCCTCGAAAACCCCATGGAGCGGTTCTTGTCTACACACATGGGGTCGCCAAGAGTTGGAATCAACTCTGTGGCAGCTAACTAACAACCAACTTAAGCCTTTTCTTTAGTTGTGATACATCTGTAGTTCAAAAATGTTAAAATATTAGAGTTAAGGGACAGGAACTATAGTAGATACAGCATTTGGGGCAAAATTTTTTCTTTCTTAATCCCTTGTACATATTTCTTACATCACCGTAATCACACATACGATGTGTCGTTTTGTCCGTGATGTAAGCATTTTATCATTGGCTTTTTTGTTGTTTGAAGACGTGCCTAACACCTTATTAGACTGCTTAAACCCTTTAACTAGGATTGCCTCTTCTCTGAAATTAGAAAAAGAAAAGTCCCTCTGGAAGTAGAGCAGAGATGGTTGTTGGAGAACCTGCTTTCAGCATGTCCAGAAGACAGCATACAGTGTGTCTTACCTCCTGAAATTACTCATGTGCAACATTGGCCCCATGTGACGTCTGAGGGTCTAAAATTGATTTTGAAGGCTACGGCTTAGTAAATGCCCAACTACTTGGTATTAACTTATTTCGTACTTGTCACAGGAAATAAGAAAAAATTACTAGTTGAAGATCTGTATTGATTTTTCAGAACTGTTTAGGTAAAAGTATTTCTTCTTTAATGAACTCTTCAAATTGAGTGCTCCCATCCTAATAAAACAGTGCACCAAAGAGAGCCCTGCATTGGTGATTATTGCACCCCCGTTGCACACTGATGTCAGATCAATTGGTGTCAGTTTGACCCAGTTAAGATCCAGTGAAGCTCACTCTTAAAAGCTATGTAAAAGGAAGGTTGGAATGATTATACAGCTTGAAGAATGTAATCAGTGTCACTAAATGGTATGTGTAGAAGCTGTTGAATTGGTATATGTTTTGTGGTGTATATTCTCAACAACAACAGCAAAATAAATGATATTTAAAAAAAAAAGTTGTGTAGACTGCCGGTCAAAACTTCCAGGATTTTCATCACATGGCAGGTATCTCTTCTTCAACAATTGGAGTCAGAACCTCTGAACTACTGTTGTGGTATCATCTCAAGATTTACCTTGATTGTGTCCACCCAGGCCTTCCTTATGTAGCCTTATCTAAATCTCCTCTTGACTGATTTTTGTTTAGTTTTGTCCAGACTGTTCATAAAAGATTCCTAATATAATTGCTATTTTAATTTTGAACAATTACAAAGGAGTTGTTCCCAGAAGTATTAACCATTGCACTATTAGGTCTTTCCTGTGACTGACTATCTAGTTGTAATGTATTGTCAGTACTTCTTGAGTATTCAACAAAGACTTGGGAGTAAATAGAGTAAAATGTTTTGTCCAGGACAGTAGTAGTTAACGGTCATCTACACTTACTAGTGTGACATTGTAGTTAGGTGCCATCAAGTCGATTTTTGACTCCAAGCGGCGGCTGCATGTGACAGAGTAGAACTGCCCCGTAGTGTTTTCTTGGCTGTGATCTTTACAGAAGCAGATCACTAGGTCTTTCTCCCATGGAGCTACCGGGTGGGTTCAAACCTCCAACCTTTCGGTTAGCAGCCGAGCTCCTAACCGTTCCACCACCAGGATAAGGATACAGATATGCCCTTTATTCCCTCAACTATCCTCCTAAATTTCTGTTGTTCCCTTCCTGAAGTCCTTCTGTCTAGTTCCTGTCCTCTCATTATCCACATCCTCTGTTGGACTTCTGTTTGCCAGTTGAAGGCTCCAACACTTGCCTGGTTTATATACATCAGACACTTGACTCTGATGTGTTTTTTTCTCCTTTCTATACACCAAGAATTTTATATGTAATGTCACAGTAGCTTGGAGGTGTAGTGGTGTTCTGCTGTATGTGAGGAAACTAAGGCCTGGGGAAGTTAAATAACTTGTCCAGTGTCATCTAGCTAGTAAGTGGTAGAGCTAGGATTTAAACCTAGGGAATCCCATGTTCTTTCCACTTTAACTAGTATTTTGTTCGTCTGTAAAAAGGTTGAGAAGATTACACAAGAACACACGTGAAAAGTACTTTGTAAACCATAAAGCCGCTTACGGAAGTTGATTATTCAGCTTTTGATAAACTTGTTAAAATAGTGCTCCTTTGTTCTAGGAGTCCATATTCTAGCTTCTTTTTCCTATAAATCGCATTTTGAGCCTTTCTTAAATAGTCTAAGAGTCAAGCTTAGAGTGTCCACAATTTGGTATGTGAATGAGATTTCATCTCCGTTTTGTAGAACATCAGTTTCACATCTGGGCTACAAGATAACCCTCAGCCTTTTTTCTCTCAGTAACCTAGCCCTTCCCTACTGCCAATCTTCCCTATGCTATTAATAGTCAATCTGCTTACTAACTATCGAGACAACCGCCAGGCTATTTACGGTCTTCAAGAGCTCAGAATACAGAATTACGTTTAGTGTGTGCTCTTTGCAGAGTAGAGCCTCTAGTCCAGTCCAGCCACCCACATCCATGGAGCTTAGTGACCTGGTTGTTAGTTTTAGCTGGCAGGGATCTGAAAGTAATCTGGCAATGAAATAAGTAAGAAGAGAAGAAAGGGAAGCTAGAAAGGGGGATTCAGAAAGGGAGTAATAAGAGATGGAAGAGAATTATAGTCGAGGGAATGAAAGGTGAGTACAGGTAGGGTTGACTACAATTAAAGTAATGGGATGTGGAAATTAATAAAACACATGGCTTTTGAATTACTGGTCTTTCAATATTCTGGTTACTAAATGATGTTAGTATTCTATGGAGAAGAGAGGAAATTAAGGGATTAAAATTTCATAATCGTCAATGTTTTTAAAGTTTTCCTTAGCAGGTTCTGCACAGACACACTAGATAGTGTTTTATTTTTAAAAAAGATTAACACATGCTGGCAGGATCATTGCAGACAAATGGTAAGCTTGTCAACTTTTTCATTAGTATTGATGGCATGTATGGCGCAGTCACTCCTTGAATTTTAATACTGATGTTATTTCTGTTCTCATTTACATATTTCCTCTTTTGTCATATTAAGCCTCTAGGTTACCTAGACAGGAAGGAGATTTAAGTAACTGGAAGTATTTGTCCTCTTAATTTGTCTATCTTTTTTTTTTTTTTTTTTTCAATCTAAACATTCTCATCCCCCTTCCCACACCCAACTGTGGGCCAGATGTGAGCCAAGACATGGAAGTTCTGTTCAGGATTCTGTTACGAATCAGATGCTGTCGTCTAACTCCAATATGGTTAAACAGCAGAGAATCCAGAAACACGGGGAAGGTGAACTGTTCTGCTTGCTCCTCCTGAACAGGGCAGGCTAATAACGTGGCTTTCAGACTCAGTGGGGAGTGGCCACAGGGTGACTGAAGCACAGTCTTTACCCGAGAATATCTGTAAATTCCAGATCGATTCTCTAAATTTTCCCTTCGTCCTAGTTACTCCTGATAATCAAGCCTGAATTCTAGGACTTTCTTGCAGCTAGACCACCAAAGTCTTAAACTTTGTACATGTAGTGATTGTAATTTGATTTTATGTATATGAAGTTTTAGTGGGGTGTGGCAGTTAAGTGAGGGAAAAGGTATTATTAATAGCTTTCCTAAGTAGGTTAAATTGTTTGGTTTTGTCAGTGAGATACGAAGGAGACAGTGAATGTGACCTTGGTAGATGGTGGAAATAGATAAATATGTCCCTGTGATCCAGTAATTGAATGTATTGTTGGGAAGATTTTGTTTACAGGTATAAACAAATTTATCCAATAAGATGTAGTAAGTTCAGTGATAGAAGTATTACAAGGTTACAGGATGCTGTGGTAGCATAGTAAAGGGAGCAGCTTTATTCCTCGCTATTTAATAAAGGTAAAGATAACCTTGCAAAGTATAGTTAAGTATATATAAGTGGCCAAGAATCTCATAATAATGTCACAGAAACTAATTTTTTCTTAAGTTTACAGCACCACCAATCTAACAAGATTTGCGACATTAGTCAGGAAATAACCAAGTTTAAAAAGATGTACTTTAGGCTAAGTGCTTTAAAATCTTGTAATCAGATTTGCTGGATAAAAGAGATGAACATCAAATACTGAGGGGAAAAATTAAATTAAAAAAAAGAAAAAGAAACCTGAGGGCCTTGGTGGGCAGCATCTTTCCGTCAAGAGACCAGTGTTGTTCGATTTGAGATGACCAGCATCGTTACACAGTCAAAAGGTCTAGTCTTGAATATTTGTTTTAAAAAATATGTATAAAATTATTTTCTTCTGACTTACAGATCATGATTAGAAGTATTTTCTTGTTTTTGGATCGCACTTACATACTTCAGAATTCCATGCTTCCTTCTATATGGTGAGTTCCTAGTCTGGTACAGCTGCATCTGCTGTTGGCAAGTAAAAGTTTAAATCTGATCTGTATCTTCAGCTGATTAATTTGTTAAAGTGGATAGAACTATTGGTCTCTGTCTTTTGTTGTGTTTTACGTCAGCCAAAATCATTCATAAAATGTTTGGGTCCAAGATAGATCCCTTAGACGTGAAGTGCTGATGTTTCCAGTCTGCCAGTGAGGAATAAAGGGAGGAGCCAGGGGCAGGCAGGATGCCCAGGAAGTAGGAAGTTGTTTTGCTTTCTCTCATTTACATTGAGTTTCATAGCTAAGGCACCGGGGGGGAAAGGGGCTCCTGCTGTGAAGCAGAAGTATTGTATGAGTCCACATGTCTGACTAGTGGTCACGCACAGCAGCAGCAGACTTCAGGAGAACGGAGCTCTCGTCACACTGCTGGCTTCTGTTGTTGGAGGACCGGGCCACTCTGAGGAAGATTGCCGGCTGCCCGTGGAACCACCGTTTAAGTGCTTTAACATCTGCTTCCTTACTTAATCCTTGAAACAGCTCTATAAGGGAGGACCATTATAGTTCCCATTTTATTGATGAAGAAATTGAGGCACAGAGAGGTTAAATAACTTGCTGTAGACGACACAGCTGACAGGTGGCGGAGCTACAATTGCTCCTTGAGCCATCTGGCTGTAAAACCTCAGTTTTCAGTCTATGGGTGTAGTTTATAACATAGCTCTGTCTTATAAACTATAAACCGATTTTTAATTTGACACCTGATTGGGTGGTGCTGATGTTGATAGACATAGAACATATAGGAGGATTTGGGGCATATTTTGGGGAAGAAGATAATACATTGAGTTTGAGGTACCCAGAGGAGAGATCTGGACAAGAAAGGGGCCAGATGTGGGAGCCAGTGGTCCTGTATTCCTGGGTACAGAGGGGGTCACTTAGAGGAGTGTGGACAGTCGTGATTTTCCATTTGCCAGTATGGCCCCTGGAGCACTTGGAAGTTAGTAGGCATGTTTTTTTGGTTGCTACAGTGATTGAAGGGGAACAGCTAGTGTTTAGAATCTAGGGCCCGGGGTTGCTAAATGTCCTACAGTACGTGAAATAGTCGTACATGATGAAGAACTGCCTTATTCCAAATGCCGATGACATTGAAAAACAATGATGAAGAGTGGAAAAGAGAAGGGGGCAGGATTAAACCTTGTGGCAAGACACCAGTACGTAAAGGGCAGACTGGGAAGCCCATGAGAAATACTAAAGTAGCCGTCAGAAAAGTGGAAGGAAAAGGTAGAAAAGTGTAATTAAGCAAAAGCAGGGGAGAGTTTTAAGAAGGAAGTGGTCACTCAGGTCAGATGAGACGGATTTCAGATAGGATATGACCCATGGACATCATCCTTGGTAAAGCAGAGGACCAGCAAAAAAGAGGAAGACCCTCAACAAGGTGTATTAACAGCGGCTGCAATAATGGGCTCAAGCATAACATCGATTGTGAGGATGGCGCAGGACTGGGCAGTGTTTCGTTCGGTTGTACGTGGGGTCGCTGTGAGTCAGAACCGACTGGATGGCACCTAACGACAACATGACCCAGGTGGGTCCTTTGGATTACAGAACTAAGAGGTTATTAAGAACATTAATGAAAGCCATTTCAGTAAGGTACTAGAACAGAATGAGAGGGAGAACAGAAGTAGAAGTTAGAGAGGATTAAGGTAGGGTTTTTGTGTGTGTTTGTTTCAGGTGAGAGACTTAAATTGTGTTTATATTCGGGAGAGGAAAAGCTTCCTGGAGAAGGAGAGGTCAGGGCCACTTATGCAAGGGGATGGTTGGTGGAGGGAGGTTTTTGATGAGGTGAGAGAAGAGGGGGCAGTCCACGTCACAAGAGGAGGAACCACTGGGGAGAGAGCAGGAAACTAAGGGCGTTCCACGTGATGGTTTCTCTCTTGTCCACTTGTGAAGGAGGAAGTGGTAGGAAGGAAACTGTGAGGAGAGAGGTGAATATTGAAATGGGCATGAGGGCAGTGGGAAGGAGTACAGAGCAGGCACGTGTAGGATTACCCTGAAGCAGTGGGAGTCCTGCAGAGCTTGGAACTGTCGTCTTGCCTGGTTGCATGATGGTCCTTTAGCAGCATCCTGAACGTAGAAGGAGAAAGGCAGGTGATTGGTTAAGAGCCGTGGTGGCACAAATGGTTATGTGCGCAGCTGCTGACTGAAAGGTCGGCAGTTGGAACCCACCCAGCAGCTCGGCGGGAGAAAGACCTGACGGTCAGCTCCTGTAAAGATGACAGCCAAGAAGACCCTGTGGAGCAGTTCTACATTGCCACACGGGTTTGCTATGAGTCGATATCGACTCAACAGCACCTAATAACAACAGAAGGCTTTGCTCAGGTCAGTTTAGTAGTTTATGGCAGGACAAGAGAAGAGGACAGTTCAGGTTATTGGTATGAGAATGTGAAAGTGACAGATCATGTGATACAATCTGTACGTATGGGTGGAAGTGAGGCCCGGGAGACTGAGATATTGGGAAGAACCGCAGAGGTCAATGAACTGAAGGGATTAATGGGTTGTCGTTATTGTTAGCTGCCGTCAAGTCGGCCCCCAATTCATGACAGCTCCACTCGCGATGGATCGGGTTTTCATTGGCTGAGTTTCCAGAAGTAGATTGGCAAGCCTTTTTTCCTAGTCTATCGTAGTCTGAAAGCTCCACGGAAACCTGTTAAGCATCATAACAACAGCCAGCCTCCACAGAGGAGTGGTGGCCGCACTGGAGGTACCTTGGCCGGGAATTGAACCCCGGCCTTCTGTATAGAAGGCAAGAATTCTATCCCTGAACTACCGTTGTCCTCCACTCCCCGCCCCCGCCCCCCACACACACCTTAATGAGGTGGAATAGTAATAATACTTAACACCCACTAAGCACTGATTACTGCCTGGCACTGTTTTGAAATGCTTTACAAGTGTCAATATATTTAACCCCCATTTTACGGGTTTACATTAATATATTAATATCTCCATTTTACAGTTAAGGAAAGAGACGCACAGAGAGGTTAAGTTCCTTGCCCGAGGTCATACAGCAAGCAAGTAGTAGAGCCAGAATTCAAACCCTAGCAGTCTGGCTCCAGAGCCTGCCCATTTAACCCCTGTAGTTTATTGCCTGTATGTGGTGATTTGTGGATTATGTTTGAAGTACGAGAAAGCTCAGGACGTGGCACGTTCAGGGAACCTAAAAATGTTTGTTATGGTTACAACGTACAGTATGTGGGGGAAGTGGCTGGAAATCTACCCTTTGAGACGTGAGTTCTTAACTACAGATGTGACTCCCAAGAGCCCTCTACACAGCCTACCTACCTCTCAGCCAGTACTGCCTGCCGCTCCCCACTCCACCCTGCCCCTAAAAGGCCAATTCAGCATACCTGGATAGGGGCCCAGGCATAGGTCTTTTTTTATCCACCTCCCCTCCCTTTTAATAGAGTTAGACAATGAGGAGGCCTGCGGACATTTTTAAGCACAGCATAGAGTGACGTTATCAGATAGGTTTTGCAGACAACTGAATTATCTTCCTAAATTAAAAAAAAAAAGTTTTGGGTTTTTTTTGTGTGTGTGTTTTGTTGTGTTATGTTTTGTAATGACTTAAAGTGTGATGAGCTTTTAAAGTCATACTTCAAATTATAGTCTTCAATGGAAATATAGGAGGGTGCCAAGTGATCTGGAGAAAACAGAGAATTTGCTGGATGAGAGAGCACCAGTGGAAGGATGACAGACGGGAAAGGGAAAGAACACAGAGAGACTGTTAAGGGTGGTGCAGCAGGAGGAGGGACAGTGATCTCTGAAATCCTTCTGCTTCTCTAATCACCCGTGACGAATGGTGTAAATCATGCACTGAAGACAAGCAGATTTTTACGATATAGATGTGATTTTTTTATGATAGTTTGCCTGACCCACTCCAGAAAATAGCACAGCATTTTTCAAGGAAAGACATACAAGGCATACTAGACTGGCCAGGAAGAAAAAAAACCTTAGCACCTGGATTTAGAGAACTAGCAAATGAACGGTTTTTTGATGATAATATAGGTGGAGCTTCACCTAAAACTTCCAAAGTGTGAAACTAAAATACAGTTTTGTTGGATGAATGGAAATGCGGAACCCGGGGTGGAGAAGGAGAGAGTGTTGACACATCGCGGGGTTGTCGACCAGTGTCACAAAACAATTTCTGTATTAATCGTTTAATGAGAAACTAATTTGCTCTATAAACTTTCACCTAAAGCACAGTAAAAAACAAAACAAAAAATAAGATAAATTTTGTTTTTTATTGTTTGTACAGGGATATGGGATTAGAACTATTTAGAAACCATATAATTAGTGATAAAATGGTTCAGAGTAAAACCATTGATGGTATTCTTCTACTAATTGAACGAGAGAGAAATGGTGAAGCTGTGGACAGAAGTTTATTGCGAAGTCTACTGAGTATGCTCTCTGACCTTCAGGTAAATACCTTACAATTCTAAATATCCCAGTAATGGTTTCCTATAGTTTATAAGGAAAAAACAAAAAACCTTGAATCCCTGCCTAACTACTTACACCAAAATAAGTAGTTGTATTTAGATTTAAATATAAAGATGAATTCATGTAAGTATTTCTTGAAAATATGGGATATTTTTTCTTTTTAACCCATGAGAGAACAACTCTTAGCTTATCACTACACCAACAGCCTCAAAAGAAAAGACTGATAAATAAGACGACATAAAAATACAGATTTCCTCGTGGAAGAAGTAACCATAAATAAAGAGCACACAGATAAAAGACAGAGATCTGAATTCTTTAGTATTTGAAGAGCCACTGCAGACATAGACCCAGCGCTCCATAGAAGAATGTACAGAACTGAAGCAGCAATTTCACAGAAAAGCACATGCGCATGGCAGGTGGGGCTGCCTCACTGTGTAGCTCAATCTCCTGTAAAGGCGTTAGCAGCTGAGTGATAGTTCCAGACAGCTTGTTAGTACTGGGAGCTGCAGTGGTGCTGAGTGGCATCCCTCAAGTATTGGGATACATTAACACCTTAAAAGATGAAGCTTCTTTTCCATAATCAGTAAGTAACTGCTCATTTCTTAGGTATATAAAGATTCATTTGAACTGAAATTTTTGGAAGAAACGAATTGTTTATATGCTGCAGAAGGCCAAAGATTAATGCAAGAAAGAGAGGTGAGACTATGCATTGTTTCTAAATTGTCTTATTTCATTTCTGTCACTGTGCATCTAGGTGTCAGTTTCTAAACATTTGTCTTTTCACTCACAAACGTTTTATGGAAAATCTTCTGAAGGCTACAATCTACTGAAATTACAGTAAGAGTTTAATTTCTTTAACTTAAAAACTATTTTATTGCCCGCCCCTCCCCCCCCCAGTAAAAAAACCAATAAGATAGTTTCTGAAGTATGTAAAGGAAATCAAGTTCAAGCAAGAGGATAGGAGATAAATCCCAAATAGAAAGATAAATTCAGCACATCAAATAATTTCATCTGTGAAAAGCATTGAAAAAAAATTACCTAAATAACAAGTGATAGGAACCAAAAAAAAATTTAATGACCAGTTTCCCAGGTATTAGAGCATAGTCCTAAGATAGCCCCTGTGGACTTGTCACCCATGTATCACTTGTTAATGCACAGGATGGATGCCAGCCGTTGATTCCTTAACCCTAATTTAGGAGAGGAAGTTTTATGTCAGGTCCTTGGTGTGGCCCCAGCCATCTGGATCGGCACCCTAAAGACCAGTGCTGCAGGAAATTCCCTGTGTTGTCACGTGGCAGCAGAGAGACCCTTTGCCAATGGAAATGTGAAATGTATTAAGAGCTCTCCAGAGGCCACATTGTTTGGGGTCCACAGATGAAGAGCCAGCCTGTTGATGATAGTTTCTTGCTGATCCCAGCTGTTGCACGGGAGAGGAATTGCTGTTAGGCTTCTATACCCTCCAGCCCCAGTGCTGATGGCTCAGTTTCCCGTGGAGCTTCACTGATGGAGGAGAAGTATTGTGGTATCTACCCAGCTCATTGTGAACAGGGCACAAGAATCAAGTGCTACCTTTGTGTTAATTCTAGAGGTTAATTTTAATCTGGAATTAAATTTAAGGACACTTTCTACTGTGTAGTCCCCCTTACACACACATACACTTTCCATTTTACTCCCCACACTGCCCCCCGCAAGTTAATCTGTATTAATATTTGGCTTGTACATATCTTCTGGGATGGGGGGCAGGGATTGTTTAATTTTATAAGCGAAACCTAATATTTGAGCTTCTTGGTGTTCAAGAAGCTTTATTATTAAAGTATCTAAATGTTTTGTTTGAAAGGTTCCAGAATATCTTAACCATGTAAGTAAACGTTTAGAAGAAGAAGGAGACCGAGTAATCACGTATTTAGACCACAGTACGCAGTGAGTACTATTCCTTTCTTGAGTTTTTGCAATTTCACCATAGGTAAAACCTTTTCCCAGCTAGTTACTGAAATAAACACAGTATTTTAGTAGATTAATTCACTATTACCTAAAACTGTTTTTGCTCTAGCATATGTTGCTTGTATTATTTGTCATTATTCAGCTATTATAAATTATATTTTTACTAAGTGCTATGTTGTGAATTTTTGCCCAAACAGAGTAATTCAGGCTGAAATCTTTGGGTTTATGAGACAAAAGGAATTCTACTTATATTAATGGAATAAATTTGAATGTTGGGAAATTTTGATTTTGAACTTTTTATTGGACATCTAATAGAGCTCTCAGTTTAATTTATGGTACTCAATCATATTATTTTCTCTTTTCTTCTAATTCTCCCCACCCACCCACCCAAACCTGAGGTTGATCAGTAGCTAGGGAAAAGAAAAAGGGAGAAATTATGTGAGAATCTGTATTCTGGCATGGAATATTTACTCAAATAATAAGAGATAAGAGGAGAGGCGTAGGAGAAAAGAGATTAAAATGATACAATATGCAGGATTTGTTGACTGATTGACTTGATGAGGGAAGCGGACAGAGAGGATGAAAGAAAGGGACAGGATTATGACAATTTGAGAGGACATGAGAGAAGAGATAAAATTGCTTTTAGGCATATTGAATTTGATGAGCCTATGGAAACTGCAGAATCTCCAGATAAGTAATGGTTGAGCTGAAGCCATAACAAGATAGCTCAGAGATACGGGGAATGCTTACACTTGACTGGGGGGTGGAAAAAGAGGAGCCCACAAGAGACTGAGAACAAGTAGCCACAGAAATGCAAGAAGGAATATAGGAGAGAATGTAGTCAGAAAAGCCAAGGGAATGATATTTTAAGAAGAAAATGATCAGCAGAGGCAGATATTGCCGATAGGTCATGTCATGGTTTGAATTAGGTCCCCCGAAAAATGTGTATATCAGTTTGGCTGGGCCGTGATTCCTGGTACTGTGTGATTTTCCTATATGTTGTAAATCCTGCCTCTATGATGTTAATGAGGGAGGATGGGTGGCAGTTGTGTTAGTAACTGGATCTACAAGACTGGATTGTGTCCTGAGGAATCTCTTGAGATATAAAAGACAGAAGTGAGCAGTGAGACGGGGACCTCATACCATCAAGAAAGCAGTGCCGGGAGCAGAGCACATCATCTGGACCAGGGTCCCTGCACTGAGAAGCTCCTAGTCCAGGGGAACACTGATGAGAAGGCCGACAGAGAGAGAGACTTCCCCCGGAGCTGACCCCCTGAATTTGGACTTTTAGCCTACTTTGACTGTGAGGAAATAAATTTCTCTTCGTTAAAACAATCCGCTTGTGGTATTTCTGTTATGGCAGCACTAGATGACCAAGACAAAATTTGGTACCGGGAGTGGGGTGCTGCTCTAACAGATACCTAAAATGTGGAAGCGGTTTTAAAACTGTGAATGGATAGACATGCAGCAGTGACAGGGAAGCAGCAGCAGCAGAGAACCTACAGCAGCAGAACCAGGAGACCGGTGAAAGACGGCGCTGGAGCCGACCCACGGAGGGAGAGAGCTGAGTGCCTGTGCGCAGAAGGCTTCCTGGCAGAGTGGGGTGCCTCCGGGCACTTACCGGTGGAGTTACTGAGCTTTGGAACACTTGCCCCAGCAGGGCAGATGCGGGCGTGAGGCCCAAGGGCCGAGAGGCTATAGGAAGCAGAAGCTGAAGAGACAAGAGACACAAGAAGCCGAGCTGCTTCAGCCTCAAAAGGTATGGCCATGACCCCAGGGGTTTCAAAGGGTGGAGCCATAGCCTCTGGCCTTTCTGAGGGTGGAGTTGTCACTCCGATGGACTAGGAGAATGGTGCGCCTAAAGCCAAGGGAGCAGAGTTGCTGTCCCAGTGGGCCTGGAAGGCGGAGCT